AATTAAATTTCAAGTGAGCAAAACATACGGCGCCAAGGGGAAGAAGGGAAAGAGGGAGGGGGAGGGGGGAGGGGTTGGCGACAGGGGTTGGGTTTTGGTGTTTCACAATGTGACAACGTGTCGCAGCTTTGTGGGCGTTATCCGTTATATGTGTGTGGGTGTGGCAGCACCCGCTGAGTGTTAAGCGCCTGGATGGGGGTCTAATGTTCAGAGATTATGAGATTACGTTGGAATATTTGATGAGAGATGCGCGATAGGCGAATGTCAAAATGCTCGAGTACTTGAAATTATTTCATTAAATGGAATTAGAAAATATATACTATATTTCATATTTACACTATGACTATTGCAGTTGTAATTATATTTGCGCTTTCGTGAAATGAGAAATATGAGAGATATTCATATATCTTCACATAGAAGAAGCGCTACATTTTATCTGTAGACTATATTTTTCAGTATTAATTACGGTAAGATAAACTAAAGTCAATTCTTTTCAACTGAACATCATAGGAGTGCTCTCGAGCATGCTTTACGCATAATTTAAAAATATAAATATGTACAAATTACAAAATAAATATATTCAAATATATGCTTAATAAAATAAATTTATGAAAAGTATTTCACTTTGACAACAAATATACGCAGCTTCATTAGAGACAATCAAAGAAGTTGTAATTGTCATTAAACTTCTTCTATATATCTCTCGCCCTCTCCCAAGCTCCCTTTTCAGAACTTTTGCCATTCTCCAATCTCTGTCTCTATGCTTCTAAGTATCTTTCTTTCTCTCTCTCTCTCTGTCGCTCTTTCTTATTTTCGCTATCTCTCTCTTTCTCTCTCATTCCTTCCCTCCATTGAGACTTCTCTTTCATTCTATCTTAACATTCATTTTCTGCTTCTGCTTATTTCTGTTTTCTTTTCTCGATCCTTGCCTATGTGTCTCTATCTTTCTCTTCCTCTCTCTCCCTCTCTTAATTTCTCTTTCTCTCTTTCTTAGTCTCTGTGCTTCTCTCTCTTTTCAATCTACCTTATTAGCACCTTTTCAATACGGTCCCTCTTTCACTCCCCCATCCCTACTCCTTTTACCTCATAAATATTTTAATTAATTAAGCAATAATCGCAGGCAATACAAATAATCACAGTTTATTTTTTTATCTAACCCAAAATGAAGTGCGCCACTTCTCAGTTGCCAATGCTAAATCAGTATATCTCACACTTTCGATTGAGCTACCAGCTACCCTTCTGCTGCACCCCTCACCCCATCCCTCTTTAGCTACGCTGTCAACGACGCGTGCGCCCTAATGCGCTTCACATAACATTTTGATCATTTTATGATCTGTCGATTAGCCTCATTGTTGTTGAGTTCATCCCCCTCTCCACCCGCTCACCCTCTGCTCATCCAGCTATCTATGCCAATGGGGTTGCCTTCCGTGTGACTGTCACTGTGACTGTGTGTGTTTGTGTGTGTGTTGTTGGCAACACGCTTAATAGGATTAGCGCTGAAGAGCACTTAAGAGTCAAATTATCAACGGCTGGCAGCGCTGGCGCTGCCCAAATTGTTTTGACTGTTGCGTTTTGTATGTTTACAGTGGCCATAGACTATGACGATTGTTTGCCCAACTTTCCCACAAGGCTGTCAAGCGCCGGCTCGAGATTACTGCAGATTGCAGGCATCAAAGTCAAGTGGTGCTTGCAATAGAGACATTACGGTAAGCCTCATTGTTCCCAATAGTTCACATGAGACCGGCCTTGACCATGGGTGCATGAAAGGTAGTCTATTGCATGATGAAATATGCTTGACTAGGTGGAACTTACGGACAGTGAATTACAGGAACTGTTTAAGCACTAAATGGAGGCAGACATAAGTTTTTATTTGATTTACAATGCATAAATCAAGCACTGTACATCACTGTGAATTTATATACCTTTTACAATACTTAAGACTTTTCAACACTATATTACAAAATACCGTTTATATCATTTTATTGCTCTGATTAAAAAAGCTGGCAGTACTGCAGATAATGCCGAATAGTAATTGATTAACTGATAATTGATTTTCATTTACTTTAATTTAATTTAATTTCAATAATTTGCTAGTACAGTCTATATAACAAAAATAGAAATATAAAATAGTTATACAGCAATATAACGACCCAGTCAGCACTTTGACAGCGCCATCTATTGCCGCGTAGCTGTCAACTGCGCGTGCAGTTTGTCACTGGTTTTTGTCTCAGCTAGAAGAAAGCTGTCAAAGCTCACAGGATTGACAGGCGATATGCGTCACTTGAAGCCAACTTCAACATAGTCTTGGGCTATATATAAACTATATATTCATGCAACTGAACTGATACTTACAGAGTGAATTGCTGGCATTGTTGTTGTTGTTGGTGTTGCTGCCGCTGCTGCTGCTGCTTTTGCCATGGCTGGACGCAGAGGCTGCTGCGCTGGAGGACGAGGCGGCGACAGCATGCGAGGACGATGTAGCGCAATCCAGCGAGGATTTCTCTGTATGAAAAATGAGCAAAACATATAACAAACAAAACAAATTTTAATTGCAATGCAGCACAAATTTGCACGCGTCGGCATTCGACATGGCGTGGATAGCGAGAGCGAGAGGGAGGCAGAGTGCGCGAGCTAGAAATGGGCCAAGTCATAAATCTCAGCATAGATAACTACCCGTTTATTTATTACCCAAATTATGGTTGGCTGAGAGTCGGCGCGCGCTATGCCCCGACCCGACCCACCAGTCAGTCGACCAGCCGACCAGCCGACCATGACGTGGCTGACACGCAACGGCGCTCCGCTCAGCAACAGCAGACAGCAGAGCACTCACAGCAGCAGCAACAGCCACCCTCTCTTTCAGCCGGACAGAGCCTGTGAACCGCAAACGATATAATCGCGAGGGTTGTCACTTCTCAGAGCCGACATCAACCAGCAGCCGTAGCCGTGTTTAATTGCCGTAAATCTTTGTTTGATGTAAACAACAATAAGCATAGGTCGTCCCATTCGCAACGCTTTCCAATTGAAATGTCAATGCGAATCCTGATGACCATATCTGATAATAGCCGAGACTAAAATTTGCATCCATGTAGCGCGTGTGGGAACGTGACTGTGTCATAATTGAGCCTCGAGGGATAAGCTAATGGAAATGGATATGGGACAAGGCGAGAGCACGAAACTGGTGCATAGATATAGAGGTATATATTAAATCTGAATTCTTATAAATGGATTCCTATGTTTAGCGAGTATTTTTGAGCCAAGTGCTCAAACTGAGATTTCTTCCATAAAATCCAAACTTCTTATTTGAGCTCAAGTTTTTTGGTATACGGTTTGTTTCTATATATACATATCTATGTTATATATGCATAATGATCTTATGGCATTATACAAGATGGGAAGTGTAATTATCTTTTATGTGCTTTGTAAGCCAAACGGCTCTGGAGCAAAAAATAATGAGTTACGCATGACAAAGTTCTTTTATGCGACAGCAGCAGAGCAGAAGGCACAAAGTTGACAGCAAAGCTCATAAAGAGAGAAAAGAGATAGAGACAGACAGGGAGACAGGGACAGAGAGCGAGTGAGAGTGAGAGCAAGAGAGCTATGCAGCCTTTAAGAGACAACTGAAAAGGATTCATTGCATGGATTTGCTTAAGGCAGAGTTCGAGTCGGCGGCAGCGAACGGCCATTTTGGTTCACCCTAAAAACCAGCCAGAAAAGGACTCGCCCGCTTGTCATATTGAATTCCGGCTTACAAAGCCAAGGCGATTAAAAAGTCAACCAAGAAAAAAATTTAAAAAAAAAAACAAAAACAATACAAATAAAAAGAAATACGAGAGTAGGAAAGAAAATTTCTTATATAAAATTTCATTCGATATAAATGCTGAAGCAGAACAACATAGACGGAGGCGGCATAACAAATTCTAGCCAGGCACGCGATGATATTACTGTGGACAGTGCATTTTTGATGTTTCTATTCGCCTCCTGCCCCAGCTCCTGCCCCTGCCCCTGCTCCGTCGCGCTGGCCACATTATAAGCCACATCCGTTGCGCCGGCTTAAATTGATAAACAGTTTGGGTTTGAGTCAACAGCGAAGACCTTGACGTTTATATGGATAATTCAATTTGGCTTTTTATACGAAAATTCTCGTTTCCTTGTTTCGGCTAAAACAAAAATGGCCTTTAGCCGCCTTTTTTTCGCCATTTCTGTGGGTGGCTTTTATGTTTGGACACTGGTCAACATATGTTGCCCGAATGTGTTTAAATAAATACGCGAAAATTGTTCACTTTTGCAAGAGAAACAACTTTTTTTTTTTTTTTTGCTTTTGGTTTGCTTTGGTGGCTTCGCTGGCGGAAGCGCAGGATTTGTTTTTCCGCCATTTCGCTGACATTTGTGTTAGACCATGGCGAGAGAAGGTCAGTGGGCTGCTGGTGGGTGAGCTTATCGGGTGGGTCAAAGGCCGCCATACAAGCTGCCGGCATGGTGTTTGGCTGGCTTTACGAGCGGCTATCATATGCTTCGAACAATTTGGATTATCTTTATTATCGAAAAACATATTGCAGGGGAAATCTATGGTTTGCAGAGTTAAGTGGGTACATATAGGACCTTACTGCCATGGAAATGGCAGATCGGATTATGTATGCTTCTTAGATTTGATTATTAAATGAAGATCTCTGATAAACCTCTACCAGAAGGCAATAGAAAGTCTTTATTCTATATAGGAATAGAAATTCCTTTTTTACCAACTATTCATTATAGAATGTAGACAAAAGTACGCCTCCATTCATATAGACCATATAGTGTACATTTATATACATATTTTATATTGAATCTTTACTTGTTTCTAGCTGTATATAGCTATAGCTGAATATGTTCATATAGGGGAACGGATCGTGTAGTACTAGATCATTCGATGTAGATCAATCGATATAGATAGACAAGGCCAGCAACAATATTCTTAAGGATTCAATCTATTATACACATTGTCATATAAAGATCTTAAAGATTTAACTTAAAGCTAGAAAGTATAATTCGATATATTATCGATTATTATTATTGAATCAAGCGACTCTTACCTGTTCGCACTTTGTGCTCCACATGCGAGGTGGTTGACGCTGACAGCGCCGGTGGCAACGAGGGCGAACTGGCCACCACATCCAAGCTGGAGGCTGACAGCTGGCCCGCGCTGGACGTGATGACTCCGTGCTGGGTGCCCGCTGGCGAGCAGCCCGAGGGGGGCTGCAGTGTATCGAGGCGGTGTCGCTGCACGCTGCTGCCAAGYACGCCGACGCCGACGCTGCTGCTGCTGCTTACGGTGTTGTAATTAAGCACGCCCACGCCCACACCCACACCAACGCCCACGCCAGCGCCCGCATTGTGTGAGAGACCCAAACAGTTGCCAGCTCCACTGCCATTCTGCATGGCGGGCAGCGTGTCCAGCGTGTCGCTCAGCCGCTGGCTGGAGTAGATGTCGCTATATGAATGAAACATATGGTACATATAGCATAAAGATCTTATATGGAGTTCTCACCTGAAGGCGCTGCTGGCACCAAAGAAACTGCTGCGATCTTGCAGCGCCGCCTTGGCCTTCTCCACGCTCTGCTTCAGCTGCTCGAACGTCGACTGATGGAAGCGATATGAGGTCCAGTCCGGCGAGCACTGGCCCAGGGTCAGGCAATCCTCCGTCTTCACCTGGGCGAGCGTCGGCGGTGACACGCGCTTCAAGTCCAGCGCCGTTTGATACGAACACGAATTCTCGTACATGGCGCGACCTTCCGAAGCGTCAACGGCTACTTGTTGGTGAACCAATGGATTCCACTTGACTCTATAATATATAGAAATTGAGATACGAAATGGGACTTAAAATATGTACATTTATATATGTGTCATAATATAGGTTAGAAATTCAAAAGGTGTTGTCGGAAGAGAGGCAGAAGTTTGGTGAGAGGAGTACAGTAGAAGAGAAGCTCTGGGTGAACCGATTAGAGGACAGTAAGAAAATGTTGGCAGAGAGCAGCTCAAGCTTAGAAAGAGCAGAACCGAACATGTGGTGCAATTGCTGATAGACAGGCAGAAGCTTACAGAGAGGGGAAGAAGAGCTATGCGGAAGCTATTGAGCAATGCGATGTCTTAATAAAAATTATTTCAGCTCAACATTTTTGAAGATTTTTTATAGAAAAGTAGTTAATTTATCATTTAATTCATAATTTATTTCGGATTTTTATTATCTAGGTTTTCAGTCCAAAATTAAAGATTTAAGATTTTTTAATATGTAAATTTTCAAGCTAAAAATTTTTTCAAAACTGTTATACTTGGATATACAATAATAAATTTCTTCCCAATTGCTGTAACTTTTACAGTTAAAATGTTTGCTTTACATTATTATTTATGGATTATATAAACCCAAATTTTTGGCTAAAAAATAAAATTAATTTTCAAGCAATTTTATTTTTAAATATTTAATTTAAGCCAAAGAAAAATCAAATTCTGCGCCTATTGAAGTTTAATGAGTGACTCAAATTTATGAATATCAATAATATTTTTCTGAGTGTAAACGTCTGCATGTATATACACTTATACATAAGCATATGTATAGGTTTATGCACATATCTATGCCTGATAATAAGCACATAAATCAGAGTTGGAATAGCCCGCAATTAATGACTGCAATTTCAAAATATTTCACAAAATGCAGCTCAGAGCTATTACACTAGCCAACATAATTAGTAGAGCTCGTTGGAAGTGTGTTTCTGTGTGTGTATATAGTCTAAGATATGTGCACAACAAGCATAATTATCTCTGTGCTGGGCATTATTTATGAAGCGGCGCAGGGCAACGCTGCGTATGAGCGTTATGCGTGGGCGGGCGGCCATTTGAGCGTATATTTTCTAATGGCTAGCTATTGTATTATAGCCAGTGTATATGAGTGTGCTGTGTGCGTGTGTTGTTGTTGTTGTTGTTGTTGTCGTTACTGTGCTGCATGCCATGCAAATTTTTGCACTCTGCCTTCATCGGAAGTTGCTGAATTTTGATTTATGCCAACGAAATTTATGCTACAGCAACGGCAGGAGCAGGAGAAGGAGCAGGAGCATGGGCAGGAGCAAGGCTTCAATTTCATTTTGCAACGCACTTTCTGACAGCTTTAAGGCAACAACAGCAGCAACAACCACGGCAACAATTTCGCTTATCAGCTGCAGCCGCATCTAGTGAAACATCATCAGGCAGCAGACATTATAAACGGCCCGCACACGCCTTGTTTATTATTTATCATTGTGTTTGCTGTTTGGCAAGCAAATTGCGCGTTTGCCAATAGAGCAGCAAGGACACGGCGAAGGACAACCATTTGCTGCCATTTTGAAGTTATCACACACAGAGGCGAGAGAGAAAGAGAGAGAGAGCGAGCGAGTGAGCGAACGCACGCCGGAAATACGCGCAGGATGCCGGGAAGCTGCGTTGATGATGGTTAGCTGAGAAGTTGTGAAGCTGAGCAGGACGGCCGCGTGGCTGCATAAAAAGCGAAAGAAAAACACGAGACACACACACACGCACAGGCACACTTTGCATACATACATATACATGTGGACGTATATGTGTGTGTGTATCTGGCTAATGACATAATGCTCGTGTTGCTGCTTTTAATTAACAGGATGAGGACACACGCGCCGTGGCTGTGGCACTTTAATGGCTTGTAAGATTTTACCTATCAGCTACATTTAATGGCCTTACAGCTGTGCCGCTGGGCGGCCAAGGGGGCGTGGCCACTTAACACTTAGTTATACTGAAGATTTGTTAAGGGCAACAGCAGCCGACGGCGTTGGCTATGGAAGCTGTGGAATATTTTGAGTTGACAATAGGAGAGCAGTCAGTGGAGGCAGTGATAGAATCCTAGCAAGGATTCGAAAAGATTCGAAATACATTTAAAAGGATAAATCAATATACATTGGAATTAGTAAAAAGATAACTTCAAAATTTCTACTCTGTAAAATTGGTGTGAAAAGTTTTTACTAAAATTTATTAAAATAATTATCATCTTTACTACATGTTGGTATATTATTTTTATTATATTTTAACCAAAACCATGAGAAACTGTAAATATTTTGCTAAATACTATAAATATTTTATATATAATTCACAATGAATGTACAATAATAAGCGAATTTCTCACGGATTGCTTAAAGCTCTTTAATGTAATTTCAACTTTTAGGTAAATATTCCTACCCAGATTAAAAGCTTTTATAAGTATATATTTATTTTTAGTAGTTTATATTTAAATATTTTCTCGCAGTTGACTTAATTTAACGGTTTGATCAGCGGGCATTAGAATACCTCCAGAGCTAGTCACAGCTTGCCCCAAGAGGAGAGGATTGAAGACATTGCAGTCTATATTATCAGTAGGATAGGATAGTATAGTAGAAGTAATACTATGTTTTAAGTCAGTGTGATGGACTGATACATTTACAACTGTCCTTCGTTCCTTTATTATTACTTATAGCCAAATATAAAATATTAGAGTAGTAGAGTATTAGAGTATATAGGATAACTAAGAGATGCAATTGGAAAACTTGATTTAAATTCATTTCGAAGCAGTCATTAAGTATGGAAAGCAAATATAAATAGCTCATAAATTTATCTCTTAAATAAAGCTTAAGCTTAATTAGCTTAACTTATTAACAAAAGAATTGCTCTATGTATGTATATAAAATTTAAAATGAAATTATATTAATATAAAGCAATAAGATAGTGATAATAATAAAATTTTATTTGTTTATGAATCTGTACATATATACATATCATACATACATGCATAGCAGACAAACTAGTTATTAACCTTTAAAGTAACAAGAGGCAAGAGGCATTTCAAATTATTAATCCAATCCTTGCACTCAACTCACCTCAGGATTATGCTGGTTCCTTAGTTTAAGTTTATCCAAAAATTGACAAATTTGAAATTCTTGTATATGTTTTTTAATCAAAAGACTTGAAGTCGAATTGTAATTTATTTCAGTTGCAATTAATTCACTTTCTGTTTCAATGGCTTTCCTTTTAATGGACTCAAGACTTCACTTCACTTCGGTTCACTTCACGTCCGTTGGCGGCATTTTGTTTGTGTGTGTGTGTTTTTATTGCCGTTTACCGTTACATTTGGCAAAGCGGAAACGAAATTATTGTCCAAAATGGCGACGGATGTGCGGCAAGCGAACGAGTTGCGGACTGATGAAGGCGCAGCAGGAGCAGCAGTGGGAAGAGAAGGAGCAGGGGCTGCAAAAGGAGCCAAAGGTGGGGAGCACTAAAAATAGGGACTACGCAAATTGTTTGTTTAGTTTGTTGCAGTTGTTGTTGCTATTGCTCACTGTCGTTGCTGCTGTTGTTGTAGTTGTTATTGTAACGGATATGCACGGAAATTTGTCAGTGCGAAAGGGACGAAACGCCGTCGGTGACCGTCGCAACGCGTCCCTTAAGCATTGCCGTAAGGACACTTTCCAGGGCAGAGCGCGCGCTTGGCCAACAAAATCAAAAGTAAAATTTCAATAATTTCCGCACAACAAAATTTCGCACACACACACACACGGTGGGAGGGAGGAGGAGTGTGTGCCACGCCTACTGCGAGCAACAAGCAAATTGTATGTGTGTGTCTATTTTTTTGTGTTTTTGTATTTTATATTTGCTCGGTTTTTATTTGTGGCTGAGTTTTTATTTTTTTCTGTTTTGTCCTCTTGGTCAGAGACGACTTTGGACAGGCCATGCAACGTGTGGCCGACGAATCCTTAACCGCAAAAGTACCGTTATTATCCTTGGTGCTCCGCGACGTGTTCGTAACGGTAACGCGCACTCCAACTTAATGTGTATGTCCCGCTCGTCCAATCCATAAAGCTGGCCAAGAGACAGAGCGACAGACAGACAGCAGGCAGCAGGCAGCAGGCTGGCAAGCGAGCAGTCAGAGGCACAGACTGGGCCACACAAATCATCTCGCTCTCAAGATGGCGACACACTCCTCCCACAATCACAAGGGACCATCGAAAAGGATGCCCAAGTAGCAGCAGCAGCAGCAGCAGCAGCCCGCAGCCTTTGCGGTGGTTGATGCGCCTGCGCGCTCAACATCCACACACAGATACATATGTACAGCTATCTCTGCTGCTGTCGCTGAGTGGGCGGAGCCACAGCTTCGACTGGCGCTTCTAAGCACTTGGCCAGCGCTGTATGCGGCGGCATCATTAGTCCAAGCAAAGACCCCATTTCAGGCGGAAGTGCGTATGAGCAATATTTTAACAATGGCGTTTAAAACAGTTAAAGATCCAGCACTAACACACACACACAGAAACACAAACACACACACACACATTGCAACAGCTGAGCTTATCTGTGTGCGGGCCATTAGGCGCTTTGCTTGGGGCCGGGCTTCGCATCATTTGCGGCTTCATTTGGAATGCAACGCTGCCTGCCTTAAAGGCTCCACAGAGACTCCCCTCCACGGGGGGCTTAGTTGAAAGACGACGCAGATAAGCGCACACATAATAACATTTTAATTTCGCCAAAAATGTCTGCTTGAAAAAGAACATAATTAAGTGTGTGAGTCCAATAAAAAAATGTACGAGGGCGGTGCGAAGAGTTGTCAATTTATTAAATATACAAAAAATTATTATTATTATTAAATGCAAATTCATAACACTTGAGTTTATATGGGCAGAGCTATTTCCTAGAGAGCTGATTCATCATAAAGCACAAACACGAAATTGGGAATGGCAAATTCTAAACGAATACAAAGCAGTCCGAGTTCAAGCACCCGCAAACTTATTCGGCTCGTGATGCAGATTCCCGAAAATAATAATCATAAGTTATTCAAAGTCGAAAATTGCGAATTCGGGAGCCAGATCAATGGCGTCACCAATTGATGTGACGCAGTAGACGAGACAAACTTCAAAATAAAGCCAATTAAATAGTTGTCAACACATTCTTAAGCACATACATCAGTTAGCCTAACCGGATTCATACCTTTCCATCTTCTCTTTATATAAATTGTGAAAAGAGGTTCAAGCAGATCAAGTTTGTGCGAGAAATAAAAAGACACATGCTTGCTGTTGATTTTTATGTTATTTCTTTTTAATTTAAATAGTTCACACTTGACGCACATTATTATAAATAATGTTGACAACTGAAATTAAAATTTGAAAAAATGTTAATTGAATTAAATTATAATAATAATGCACATTAAACTTGATTTTTATTAAACTAATATTCTTCAAAATATATAATTTTTACTCAAACTATAAAAAACCTTTTTAGTTCAATCACCGTCACTGATAGAAACTAGTTCTGATCGTATATATTTTATACATGTATAAATATACTGGTCAACGTCTGGCTGGTATAAATAGATGATATGCTACCTAATGATAGTCGCATAGTCCGATTAGAGCTCAGAGCGACAACAACTGAAAAGGAATATTTTTGACATAATAATAGAAACCTAGATTTGTTAACGATGAAGTTTATCAACATTTATTTATTTACGTTGTGTCTTATAATGGGATCTTTGTGCTGGATTAACGCGGCGCCATACTATCACAGTGCTAGTGCGAGGAGATTTGAAGGGAACTTTTTTGGGTGAGCTAAAACACCTTTCGGTTGTTATACAAGTACTTTAAAATCAACTGTTATATTTCATATGCTTACAGCGAAGGCGTTCTACGGCCAGGCAGTGATACGGGCGAAGGCATTTTTTCGGAGATAGATGCGCCAAACCATAGTCCACCAAATGTCAATCAATATAACAGATACAGTTATAATTAGATTAACAACTTCAGGTGGACGACGTCATCAAATGACTTCGCGTGTGGGATCGGCTGGTTGATCAACTTTCTTTGTTACTGTTATAACATTTATAAGTTTAGACTAAATTAATAAGCAAAGCTTGCAGGAGTTGGTATACACTTAGCATGGACACCAACCCACAATGTGTAAAAGAAGCTTAACGTAATGCAATCATTTATTAATTAAAACATTTAAGTTGTACATAGAAAAAAATTTGTTCTTGTGTTTTTAGTCTGTTAGCAATCATTAATTGTCACATTAATGCATGCTTCCGAGTTTGAAATATAACAGCTGTTAGTAAATGAAATGGCTTGGCTTGGAGGACTCAAGAGACAATTAGCTTAGACACAACCCCAAAATACACATAAGGCGCTTTACAAAAAATTTTATACATTTATAAACAATAAGTTTTATTTAAAAAATTGTAATTTTTCTTTTTTATTAAAAAATTCACACATTTGCATTTATCACATGAGTAGTATATATGATAAATAGTTGTTGCAGCTCATAATCTATTCAGTTTCGCACTTGTTCTGTTTGCCAACAATAAAATAATTACATATTAATGATATTATGTGGGTGTGTGCATGTGAGGAATGGAAATATGTGTGTGTGCGTGATCGGGTGGTGTACGTATAAAAAAGTAGAGGAAAGTATACAAGTTTTCATAAAAGTATGCACAAGTAGCATCTATATACGGCTCTTCGAGCTAGATCTCACATCAAACAGTTTGCGAACGAAAAATACCTGCAATTAAAATACGATTATTAGCTATATCTGACACACACTCAGTCATTCGATTTGTCTCACCTGAATAGAGCAGGTGATCAGTATGACAATTATTTGACTAATTGAGAACGTTTGTATGTAGGAATTATTATCAAGCAGCAGCGCATAATCCCTCGACTCTCGATGTCTGCTGTGCGCCTGATAGCCCAATATTTCGTTAATATTTCGCTCCACTGTACCAATAGTATTTGTGAAATTCTGCATATTTAGCTGCAACGCCTCAATTTCCTTTGCGTATTTATCCCAAGCATCGTATTTAACCACTGTTATATAAATGTTAACCAATTTTCCAGCGAAGCGTGAGAATTGATTATCGATGCATACGGAATAATATCCTCCGGGCGAGACTTGATCAGTATAGTCCGCTGTGGCTTGCCATTGATATGGCTTAACGATCGTGCCCGCCGGATTGCGAACGGCAAAACCAGCCATACCATCTCCTCCACGAACCACCTAGATAGGGAAACGCAAAAATAAAGTTACTCCTAATCCATGAACCTCGGTTACATTTACTTACACTAAAAGAAACGTAAAAGGTAGCACCCGCTTGCACATACTGATGATAGCAGTCCTCTTTGCCGGCATCTATATGCACCTGTTTATTTAGTTAAACACAAAACAAATTAAAACATTTGTTGTTGTTTATTTCCGTGTTTTTTCCATCGGCTTCACTTATATTTACCTTATAATCCATTGCAACAGCAGGCAGATTTTCATACCATGGCTGTTGTGCTTCCTGTGCGCTAGTAAATGCAATTAATTGGCAAGACGCTATCACTGCAATTACTAATATTAACAAATTAAATCTCAACCGCTGCCACGTCAATCCCATTTTGCTTTTTATAAACAAAAGAGAGTTGCGGAGTTGGTTCGTCTGAGCGATGGCCAAAGAGTGAACTAATCACTGCTTAAGCACTTGAGTAGTTCATTTGGCTTGCTTTCACTGTTAAGGTATCTCTTGAGTGAAGCAACAGCTGTGCGCTTCAATGTTAATGATCATCAAATAAACTTCACTTGTTATTGTTTTTGAAGGATCCATATATGTGTGCACTATTTGCACTCGTTGAAAATAATGCTTATTAATTGCTTACGAAAATACGTATGTATTCCAAAACACCGCACAGCTGCGTCTTAACATTTATCGAATGCGCAACAAGTGGCGCTGTAAATTATCGAAAGTATCTTAAGAATTTTGAGTGAGTATATTTACACTGATATGTTGTTTAACATGAATCGATTAGCCTGAAGTATCGAAAGCAAAAATATATCGATACAAAGTATAATTGCGGCATTCGAATCGCACAAATATTGTTTATGAAAAGATAAAAAGGGTACGCAGTACGGACAAATCTATATAACGAATGTACACATACACTTGAATCACATTTGTGGTGAGCATTATCCACTTAGCAAATAGATTAGATATTTCACGTAAACACTCCACATACATATGTATGTACTTAATTGCGGTTGCAGCGAACGCTATTTAAGCAGCTGCATATTGGCAATTAACTTCATTAACAAAGAGTTGTAAACATGGTGCACGTCACGGAAGATGTTTTCGCTACTGCAGCAGTGGATCCCTTTACTAAGCAGACGGGTCCGATTCGGCGCTTTACGCTCTCCAATGATGAGCAAATGTCAGTGCAGATTTTAACGCTGGGAGCAACGATCAGTAGCATTAAAGTGCCCGATGCTCAAGGTCAAGTGGAGGACGTGACTCTCGGCTTTGATGATCTGGCGGGCTATCAAGAAGAGAATAATCCATATATGGGTGCGACAATTGGACGCGTTTGCAATCGCATAGCCAACGGCAGGTTCCAACTGGATGGCCAAGCAATTGAGGTGTCCCGCAATAGAGGAACATTTCAGCTGCATGGCGGATTTATAGGATTCGATAAGGCACATTGGAAAGTGTTGGAGGTGCTACCCAATGGAGTCAGCATGACCCACACCAATCCCGATGGCCACGAAGGCTATCCAGGCGAAGTCCAGGCTACAGTTACCTTCACTTTAACTGAAGACAATTGCCTGCATGTGCGAATGGATGCGCTGACCAGCAAAGCGACGCCTGTGAATCTCACAAATCATTCCTACTTTAATCTAGCCGGCCATAAGGCAGGTCGGAAGGGACTCTACGAACATAACATATCTATCAATGCCTATGGCATAACGGAAACCGACAACGAATCTATACCAACAGGCAAAATATTGCCTGTGGATGGTGGGAAATTCGATTTACGCTTAATTAGCAATCTGGGGGAACGCCTTGAGCAGCTGCAGCCGGCCCTGGGTTATGATGACAACTTTTGCGTGCAATTTGAGCCGCCGCAGAGCTTTGCCAATGTAGCTAGAGTATCGCACCCTCCAAGCGGTCGCTGGCTAGAAATTGCCAGCAATCAACCGGGCGTGCAGTTCTATACATCCAACTTTTTACCAGATACAGCAAAGGGAGAACGTGCGCTGGCTGGGAAAGCAGGCGCAGCGTATGTCAAGCATGGAGCTTTTTGTCTCGAAACGCAAAAGTTTCCGGATTCTGTGAATCATATAAACTTTCCCTCTACCATATTGCGACCGGAAGAGAAATACCATCATGAAGTCATCTACAAGTTCGGCAGGCAACGTTAAGCCAATAATAATATATATATGTGTATAGAGAGAGATATATATATGTATGCTACCATTATTAAGCATTTAGCAATTTTGAAATTGTAAATTAAACAAAGATAATTTTAAACTACCCAACTGTATGTATGTAAACTATTCGATATGGATACATACTGTATATGTACTAGTACTCAAGTTCAAGGTAAACTCAAGCATACTCTAAAAACTCTCTATTCACAATCTAGAATCTGTATTTTATAATACACAAAGAGCAAGTTTCTATTGTATAGAAACCCTTATAGAAAATGAGTTAATTTTGTTGTTTTTGCCTTTAGCTATTAAAGAGATAGCACGTTAATAATTTGTTAGGTAAAACTTAGATAAGCAGCAATGCGCGTCGCAAAAGCTATTAAGCGCAAGGCTATATAAAATGCAAGTTCAACTCAATTGCATAGAAAAAATAGTATGAGTAAGTTACTCCATCTAGTGGGCCTGCTGTTCAGTTCCTGTCTGGTTTTTGGTCAGGGACATCCGCGTATCACCAATGGCAAACCGGCCTGGCAAAAGCTGTTGCCCTACCAAGTGTGGCTTGAATGCACTTTCAAAGAGAGTGAAGATCCATTCTATTGTGGCGGCACAATCATCTCCAAGCGCTGGATTCTAACGGCTGCCCATTGCCTGCAACTCACAGACCATGAACTGTAAGTATTTACTTCAACTATAAATTCATATTTACGAAAGATCAGTTATTAATCCCTTACGACTTGCAGTGAAAATGTGCTTGTTTTCGCGGGCATCGTAAACACAACAGACGACGATGAACCGGGCCGTGTGGAAATACTGGTCGATAAGCAGGACACCATTGTGCATGCAGAGTATGATGAGCACATCGCAACCTATGATATTGCACTAATTCACTTACCAGAGGACTTAAAGCTAAGTGCATACATACAGCCAGCTAAGTTGCCCAAGAGGAAACCTCCCAACAAGTATGAAGGCCGCAAAGCCCTTGTCTCCGGCTGGGGGCGCATGGCCAACCATGAACCTGCTGAGATCTTGCAATTCCTGCAAGTCAGAATCATTCCGAATACACTGTGCGAATCATTGTGGAACAAGGAACTAGTGGGGGAAAAGAAACTAATATTGGACTCATTTCTGTGCGTTAACACGCATCGCGGTATGCCCTGTGTCGGCGATTCGGGCGGTCCGCTGGTTCTGGATGATGGCTCTAATGTTGTGGTGGGTGTCGTCTCGCATGGCTACGATTCCGAATGTAAGAGACCTGTACCGGATGTATTCATGCGCGTCTCATCGTTTCTGGATTGGATTGAACAGCACACGGGTGGACTTACAAAGCATTAAATTATGGAAATTTTCAGCTTTACCTAAATATGTGAAACAACTTTCTTATAGTAGACAATTATATATTTTTTAGAGTAGAATGATTGCCATAACAGATCGAACACTCCCGACTATCTTGAATAAATCTTCATAAAAATCCAAGCCTTCACAGCAGACAACAGCTCCAGTCTTCACACACACTTAAATAAAGTAGTTTTCATTATAGATTTCTTTTCAAACATGTGCTTTATTCTTATTACTCATACAAACTCCATACACTCTCCATGCTTTCCATACTTTCATAATATTTCTTGTGGCTTTGCTAAATTTGTTATCTTTTTGTTGTTGTTTATGGTTTGATAGTGTGATTGTATATATGTGTGTGTGTGTGTGAGTGTGTGTTAAACAATTCGCTTATGATAATGCTTGAATGTATTCTTTTGTGGGATTCGTTTGTTTCGCTTATCGTGTGGCTAATGTTGCTGATTAATCATGAATTAATTTGTATATTATTTTGTTAATCTTTTAATGTTTTCTTGTTGCAGTTTCTCTTCTTCTTTGTTGTTGTWGCTTATGTAAATGCAATTTTCAAATGTACAAAATCTAATATTAAGGGAAATGATAATGCGGTAGCAATACTTTTTATCATTTGGTTCAAGAGCATTTCGTTTATATCATATTTACTTTTCTTTATATAATCCTTGTCCTTTTTAAATTAATTAATTACATATGTTTTATGTATATACAAAAGTTGAAAACGATTTGATTTTTTTTTTTTCTTTTTTTTTTTTTTTTT